ACTCCTCATCAGTGCGCATCCACGATCCCGCACCCCGCGGGATTCAATTCGCAGGACCTACTAGTTTCGCGCGCGAGCACTTAACCATTAGACTACTGAGCAGTCCGGCATCCGACAGTGGTAATGTCTAACTTCAAACAATCCACGAAGTTGCGCCACCGTACACCATTGTCTTCAGCGAGTTGATATCTCACAACAGACCTGGTTGAACTCCACTGGTAACGACATTAACACTAACAAAGCGAAGATATAATTCTTTACAAAATAAGGCAAATTAACGTTCAACTTTTCTTCACATTTTACAGTTTGACATCTACAACCTTCTGCTAAAACTAATGAATATTCTTTCAAATAAGTGCTAACTTCTATTAACTCGTAAATTATCATCAAACATTAAAGTTATCATACTTATTGACGGTTCAGTTCAAAACCTTGAAGCTTTTGCATAGAACAATACAGGTAAACCACAATCAATGTGTTTCCACACGTCCGATAGTCTCTCAAAGACTGAAAAATAGATTACCTAAACTAACCACCTCTTTCTGTATCTATCAGTTCAACTGCTCTATTGGTTCAATTAAAACGGGCAACATCTCCATTTTAGCTCATTTAGTTCAAACGGGCCATACAACTAACATAGAACAAACATTTACAGTAATATATCGTGTTAACAGCAATCTACCCAAATCCGTCAAACTAAGAATCATTCAGAGAGCTTAGTTCAAAATAAATATGTTCAAACACTCCTTTTACCTTGACTAACTTCTGATTCAATTAGTTACTGATCAGTTGATGATTTAATGAAATAATTCGATTATTGTTCTTGCAACTTTCCTCTTTGTATTTTCATGGCTTAAACTTACCTTAATATCATAAGGGGTTTTTGTGGATATTATAGTAATTTTAATGGTTGAGATTATGAACCAATTGAAACTAGACTACCATGAAAAACCTGGAGTCACTGGACGACCGTTTCGTCATATCGTGGGACACATTCACGATCCCGCCTCGCGAGATTTGAACTCAGGACCTATCAGTCTCGTGCGTGAGCGCTTAACCACCAGACCACTGAGCCTGTCGGTATCCAAAAGTGTTAATGTCTAAATTCAACGAATCCACGAAATTGAACAACACATCCACCATTATCTTCAGTGAGTTACTATCTCACAACAGATCCGGTTGAACTCCACTGGTCACTGCTTCTCACTACAACTCTAGGAAATAACTCTTGAAACCAGTCATCATTATCATAACACCTGCCAACATTTTTGAAAAATTTATTCAGAACCCAACCCTATTTACTAATTTGTACCTAATTGATATTATTCTGCATATTATGCGATTTCTAATTTGTAATTGCATTATTATCCCTTTTACATCAATATTAACCATATTCATTCTGATCATTATCCTTACAGTTCCATTTAACGTATAAACTTATTAAAGTCGTCACATTATTTTATTTGTCTTAACATAAAACCCTCCTCGAGCCCCTCTAAGGCTACTGCCGGTCCCAGTTCTGGATAAAGGAGGAGGGTTGGGCATGGGGTTAGCTACCTCATCCCGTATAAAACTAACTCGCTAAAATCTCTAACCAGAAAAAAAAGTGATTCAAACCACTTAAACTCTGTCCCGGAAGTTAGAAAGTCTTCCATTTAGAAGAGTTATGACGCCTCATGGTCAAAGCTGAGGCTGATACCCCTTCTGACAACCAGAGCAACCATTAATTTAGGTACATGGAATGCTCCTACAACATAAACGATTCGATTTTACTCATATTACAAACAATCCTAAATTCACATCTTGTAATTTTAAACGATGCATTTTATTTCAAAACCTATCCACTTAGTGAATTATTAAATGACAGAGTATCTGACGAGAATTTATTAAAAAGAATATTTTTCATTCATATTCATTTGTGTATAATTATAATGAGAATTTTTCAGCTTCAGGCTTGAGCTGGTGGACTGCCAACGACTCAACAGTGATTGATTCGACACCCCTTCAATCAAATTCCTTTCACTCTGTAGATTACTTTAAAAGAAGAATCCTTTGTAGCGATATATCTACAGAATTTAAATAATTTTTCAGCTATTAACTCTATTGTTCCATTTAATAGCATCAATCCACTTGACAATAATGAATATAAAATAGTCAGGCAAACAGAAAGATTTTTCAATTTTGACTACTTTAAAAGTACTAATAAACATGAAAATCATTTTCAATGAATTCATGAATGCACTGTTTATACATTTATATCAGAAGTAGACAATACACAAACTAACAAAGATTATCGTATTGATGATTAATTTAAAATACTATTTGTATGTGTAATGAATGCATAAAATTATAAATGTCACAATTAACCTCAAGTTTTATGATATCCAATTTTTTCAATTATCTCGCTTTAGGTACTCTTTGCTATATCCTAGTGAAGATTACATTATGAGTAACGTCTGAGACTTATTAATGAACTATTATTATTTATATATTCTCATGGTATAAATATTCAGTAACTAGATTATGTATATTTATATTCCTCTTATTATAAGCTTCATTTTGATCTATAATTTATTATTATACAATTTACTGTTCGTAAGCTATGTTCAGTTTATTGACTACTGCTTCCACGTTCACAGTCACTTTTTTGGCTTTATTGTGTACAAATGTTATTTCCTATTTTATGGTGCGTTGCGATCTGTTTGATTGATATATAAACCCAGTATGTCTGAAATAAATGATTCGGTTCGATTCGCATAGTGGGAGCTGGTATTGGTGTTCTGGACTCAAGTGGACGGGGTAGGCGGACATAGGACCAATAAGGACGCTAGGCTGCTCATACCGGTCGAACGTCATTGGTTTGGCACAGTGCTAAGATTGTATAAGTCGTATTTTGATTGGTGGATAAATCACGTGATAAAAAGCCGGATATAAAGTCATAACACTTTACTAAAACTTGGTTAGCCTTTGTAAATAAACTCATTATAAACCTTTTATCACAAGTTATATAGAATAGAATATACTGAATAAAAATTGAATATATTTTTTGTTGACATTCGTTTTGAATTCTCAACCATCATTCATTTTTAATTAAAAACTTTGTTGGAAATGAAAAATTTTAAAAAAATGTTAATATTTTACCGAATATTCCTTGAAATGATCAATTATCGATTTGAATTGATTGAGAAAATGTCAACATGATAAAATGCATTTCAAATGTACTAACATAAATTCATTCTATTTTTGATTAAGGTTACTGAGTATCTATCGATTTCTGGCTGTTGATTTTATATACTTTATTAAACTATCTCTTTGTAACTAGGATACATTTTAACAGGATAAATTGATAATATACAATGTCAAGTAGTACATTATAATGTAATTAACCAGAAAATATTCATGACTAGCTATACCATTTGAATGTCATAGAATTATCTAGAAATTGACAATCTGATGTATTAATGAAATCAAATCAGATTCAACATTTTTGTTTCGTTTCATTTTGATGAGATCAGCCCACCAACTAATTTAATTTATTTGTTCTACAATCATAAAAGAACTATTTGAATAGTTTTGTTTCATTCTAGATAATGTAAACACTGAAGAAAAAAATAATATGAAAATATTTGAAAAACGATTAGAATTTCATTATTTTGCCTTGTTTTTATTCCATTTAATGGTTAAAATAAGAAATGTCGTTCTAACTATGTTTAAACAATTCTCTCTCAAAAATCAATGTTTACATATATCATTGTAGGAAACAAAATATATATTAAATAAGAACTTTCTTTTAAATTTAATCGAATAGTTTTACAGTATTTTTGGTGCCAAGTTGATATGACACATAAAAGAGAAAGAATATATTTGTAAACTCTTAGCGAATGAATTTAAAGTAAATATACAGTAGGTTTATTTTTCACTTTCTGGTATATCTCAACAGAATTTATCTTATGGCGACCATGAATAAGTCAAAACTAGACAATTATTGAAAACCTAGGAGGGTTGGTTATCCGTTTCATCCTAAAACAGGACTCTACATCAGTAAGGATTCGCCATTGGATTCCAACTCAGTAGCCTAGGGGTTAAAGGTTCTCACATGAGACCAAAAGTTCCACGATTAATTTCTATTGACAAGATCCCATATTAGAACACGATAACTGTCAAGTGTTCACAGATTTTGAATATTGCCTAACCTAGATCAGTTCATGACCGCAATAATATTCAACAATCATGAAAGTCTCTATACTGTGAATTTATTTTAAAGACCAGAAGAGTATTTAAGTGTACAATTGTTTTCATTACTTTCATCATCAGGCTCTATTATAGAGTTAGCCCAAATATTCTTCTTTTTTTAATATTCTATAGGGATTGTTTAATGATTTTACTTGGATAACCTATACTTACTTATTACTTACTTACTTACGCCTGTTACTCCTCGTGAAGGAGCATAGGCCACTCACCAGCATTCTCCATCCAACCATGTCACAAGTAATCCTTTCCAGCTCCTTCCAGTCACTATTCATCTTTTTCATATCTGCTTCTATTTCCCGACGTAATGTGTTCTTTGGCCTTCCACTTTTCCGCTTCCCTTCACGAGTCCAAGTTAGGGCTTGCTTCGTGATGCCGTTTGATGATTTGCGTAATGTATGTCTTATCCATTCCTATCGTCTTTTCCTAACTTCCTCTTCAGCTGGAAGTTGGTTTGTTCTCTCCCAGAGGAGGTTGGATAACCTATACAAATCTATAAATAAAATTTATATTCAATCTTCAAGAAAAAAAAATATCCAATTTTAATTGAAATAAAAATTGAAGAAAAAAAAGAACAATCATTTCTCATAAAAAGTTATTTAAAAAACGAACAAATCGTTTCTTTTTCTTTTTTAATTTTAAAATTCTTCCAATTTATAAACTTTAATTTGATTGGTTGATATTTTTACAGCTGATTACGATTTGATTGGACAGTGATTATAACATACATACAAACAAACAAAAAGTTAAACAAATTGAGAATTCATTGTTACCAATACAGTAGTAGTTATTATTTATCGCGTGTATTGTTAAAAAAAATAGAAAATTTTTTTTTCTCTTAACATGGATAAAATGATGAACTCATCAAATGATTGATCAACCATCAACAACAACAACAACAATTAAACACATACATTAAATACAATTTTCATTTGGCTACTCATATCAATGAGGAATATGTAAAAATTGAATGAATTAATTCATCAATCATTTTGTTTAAATTACGTAATCAAGAAAAGAATTAACCAATCAGATGATGAGAGGATTTGATTACCAATCAGTGAATGATTGATTTATTATTATTACATATATGCGATAAAACAGAAAGAAGTTTAGTCAATGACTAAGTTGCCTTCTATCCTGTATTCATAATTTTAAATTATGCAACATTTTAATTCCATAATTTAATAATGTTGAACAAATTGAATATTAAAAAGAATTGAACAATTGAACTATTCACTTATAATTTATAATGGATCTTATTAGAAATATTCTAAGTCGATTAAACAATAGAAACTTTATATGTTATGGAATTTGTTCTATCAATTTAACATAAATTAAATAACCTTTTGAATAAATACTTATTATAATGATTAATGGATATCTTGGATGTAAATAAATAAATACAAGGACTACAATCTCCTCTAGTCAAGTGAGTACATTTTCATTTGTTGTTTTTTTTCTGTTGTTCAATATTGTATAGGTTTATGAAATGAACTTGTTTTCTTAAATAGTAATTATTGAATAAAATTTCTTTACTTTGTAAAATGAACACAATATTTGCATCTTGAAGAAAAAGTTTATTAATTTCCTGTTGCTCTTGATTAGTCAGTTCCTTTTAAGTGCTGTTAGAGGTCTGAAGGCGGTTATCACTTATTGGTTGCTCATATCATAGAAAGGTTTTTCTGGATATACCTGAAAAAGAACTTGGGTTAGGGGTGGTCTTGGTGACCTGAGAGCGTGACCGCAGTGCCCATGGAACGACTGCACGAAGCCGGTCATGCACGACCATTTTGCAGGTAATTTTCATGTTAGCTCTTGTACATGTTGAGATCTTATCGCAGAAGACGGATATCCGTAGGATAAGGCGAGGTGTGCATTTTTAGGGTTGAACTTTTCTAACCCCACCTCTCCTTGTGATGAGGCAGCACCGCTGTCATGCTGGTATCTGAAGGAAATACCTTACTACCGTCACACCTCCATACAGTCCATAGTACGACTTCGCCCTCGGACCTTGGGTTTGTTGCTTTTAGTCATACCGCTCTTCGACCGACCTGTCTGGCATGCTAGGACCTTGGGGAATGATTTTTCCGGCCAGTATAACTCGATTAATTCATCACGATAGGCAAACCCGACCACCACGTCAAGGTATAAACAACCGTTGAATGCTCTTAATTAAGAGTAAACGCAAGAAACACACTTCTAGTTTTCGAAATTCTGGTTAAGTAGTGAACAAAAATGAATCTGCTAGTATAATCCATGTATTTTAGGATTTGTTAAACAATATTTCGTAACATTTCTTAAATTTTACCTGAAAAATACGAATAAAATACTGTAAACAATCGTGCATTTCAGTAAAAATTGAATGACAATAATATTATCTGCTTAACTAAGTTTTTAAAAAACTTATTTACATTTACGCCCATTACTCATCAGTTGACATTCAGTTATTAAGTTCATTTTTAAAGTGTTAGAATTGTCATAAAAATTACTGTCTATTGGGTTTGGATAAAGCTTTGTTCTCTGAACTGGATGGTTTGGTTTTGCAGCTTTCATTGTCCTTCTGAACGATATCATCACTTCACTTCTACCTGAAGTTTGCGGTGATGATGTCGTTCAGAAGAATGATGAAAGCTCCATGACCAAATCATCCAGCTCAGAGAACAAAACTCCATCAAAATCATCCACCTAAGCTACAAATCTTCTCCATGATGTCTATTGGGGTAGTATATCAACATTAAAATGTGGGGAAAATATTTTTCAAAAGTAAGAACTATTGAAGCTTTAAAAATATTCAAAAACTTAAAACTTTAGTCAAAAAAATGAATTAGGAAATAAATACTGACTCATGAATAATTTACACACTCATATATCTTTATTGTAATTTTAAAGTCTACTAATTAATAATTCAACTATGAGTAGTATAAATTAATAAATAGATTATGACTGATTACCATGCAATATAGTAATAATCATAATATTAATGGTATTTGTCGTATTAATCAGTTTCATTAATCAGTAATCAATAAGCATATGAACTTTTATCATATATAATACTGTCACAACATTCTATAATATTTACTAACTTACTTACGCCTGTTACTCTCAATATGGCATAGACCGCCAACCAGTATTCTCCAACCCACTCCATCCTGAGACTTCCTTTCAAGTTCTATCCAGTTGTTCATTCTTCTCATATCTGTCTCTACTTCTCGGTGTAATGTGTTCTTTGTTCTTCCTCTTTTCCTCCTTTGATCTGGAGGATTTCAAGTGACGGCTTGTTTTGTGACGCAGTTGGGTGCTTTCCTCAATGCATGGCCTATCCACTTCCAGCGCCTCTTCCTCATTTCTTCCTCCATTGGGATCTGGTTTGTTCTCTCCCACAATAGGTTATTGCTGATAGTGTCTGACCAACGGATCCGAAGTATTTTGTGTGGACAGCTGTTAATAAACGCTTGTATCTTCTGGATGATGGCTTTCGTTGTTCTCCAAATTTCCATCTCATAAAGTAGAACTATCTTGACATTTGTATTGAAAATTCTGACTTTGGTGTTGACTGGCAGTTGTTTTGACTTTCAGAGGCTCTTCAGTTGTACATATTCTGCTCTTGCTTTGCCGATTGCGCCTTCACATCTGCATCAGATCCACCATGTTCATCAATGATGCTATCCAGATAAGTAAAGGTTTTTACATCTTTCAAAGCTTCTTCGTTAAGTGTGATTCGATTGTTGCATGTTGTGTTGTATCGGAGAATCTTGTTTTTCCCTTTGTGTATGTTGAGACATACAACATTCTATAATGGTATTATTTATCATTTATTTCTTTCACTGGATTATACTCTTTGAATAACATCTTCGAACCGTAATCTTTCCAATTATCGCCTCCACTTTTACTAACTCTACCACTATGGGATTTGAATCGACAACTGTATGTCTATGCTAATGTGGTATGCAACTTGAACTGATGTACGTACGTATGAAGTTCTACGTTGTTACTAACTGATTATAACATTCCGGTTGTGTTTCCTTCTTTTTTTTATTGGTAATTACGAATAAAAATAGTCGTTTTATTGTTATTACTTCTCAAAAAGAATAATAAAATTTACTCAGATGACACGTGTTTCATTCAATTTTTATTAAGCCAAGGGTATTATGGCATTATTATTATTATCATTATCGTTATTCGAAAAATCACATTTAACATATAAGTATAGGTTCTTCCTTCTTGTACTATGTCCCTATATGCAATCTTTCTTTTATGTATTACCACCACTGAATTAACTACTTCCATGAATCCGGTGTTCATCTTGCTGTGCTAACGAGATATGGCAACTTGGGTCGACGCACACATGTGCCTGGTCTTACATTGTAGCTGAATGACATAACTGTAGGTGTACATTTATGGCATATAAAAACTAGACAGAAGTTATAATAATAATTAGCTTTTATTCTATTGAATATATTTAAAGACGAAATTTCTCTAGTTTAAAAGTAAAATTCTTAAACTCTTTAAACAATTAAATGGAGATTTTGTTGTAAGCACATTGACCTTGGAAGTGATGTTTTTAGCCTTGAATATTGTTAATGAGCTTCAATTTAATGTTTAATTGTTAAAAAGTGAACAATATACATTGTAATAACCTTCCATTGAATATCATAATATCTTATTTCATTCAAATTTATTAGTGGGAAAAAGTTGTATGAGATAATTTAATTAGGTTTCGTAGAAAATTTCCAGAGTTCTAGTGAGAACCTGTGACCAGTTCAATCTACTCCGTGTTGGGTGGAAGATAGTCGTGTAGTATCGTGGCTTGAATGAATTTGGAAATTAATATTGTTGGATGGGGCTCATTGGTCTATAGGTTAAGCGTTAACGCGCAAAACCAAAGGTTTCAGGTTTGACTCAGCATTTGAGGTCGTGAATATGCATTACTGAGGAACTCTGTATTAGAACAAAACGACCGTCCAACGCTTCGGGACTCTCAATATTGATCAATTCTTTGTTTCAGTTAACCTCCATTATTCATTGTTTTATCTATTTTTAACTGTTCAGTCATTTAGTTTACCTTCTTGTTATATTGTTAGAAAATGTGGTAATTTTCATTTATGTCCAAAAAGGTTAATGATAATAGTTAGATGAGTGGGTACATATGAATACATACTGGGCAAGAGTTTTTGTTATTCAGATCAATTTATCTAAGATGAATGATTCAATCAATGTGATTACTCTTACTTCAAAACTAACTACTTCACTACATTTAACTCAGTTTGTTTCGTAATCTTTTCTTCTTTTTTTATGTATTCTTCTCCCAGTAGTTCATATGAATAGAATTAGTTGAGTCGTAGAAACAATAAAATAATTGAGCACTTAATTTAATTGAAAAAAAAGAGTCTGAAATTTTGTTAATGACTTTGTAACGTTGGTTAGATCTGATAAATCATTATTTAAAAAGAAAAAAATATAACTATTGTCTAATAAAATTCACTTATCTCTGTATGAAACTTAACCAATCATCGATTGAATAATCTTAATGTAAACGTAACTATTATTAGACTGAAAGAAAAACACTTATTTTTTCTGAGTAATAAGTAGTAACTACCTAGTTACAATCTATATGAGTATTGTAATCAATGATAAAGGAATTTAGTGGGTACATTCATTTCTTTTTTTTTGTCTTCCTTTAGAACATGAATCTTGAAATCTTCTGATAACTTTTCTTTTCTTTTCTATTACTCTTAATACAATTACTATTTCTGCTATTCTGGAATTAAAGAGGAAGAATATATTTGTAAAATCTTAGTGAATGATTATCAAGTAAATCTAATGTTTCACCTAACAATCTGGTTTAAGTTTTCTCAAGAAAATATCTAACAGTTGTATATTTTGTTTGATAATTTGATGCGACTGAAAAATAATAAATAAGAACTTTCGTCTAAATTTGATCGAATAGTTTCATAGTATTTGGGCGCCGAGTTGATGTGAGATATTAAAGAGGAAGAATATATTTATAAAATCTCAGCGAATGAATTTGAAGTTAATCCAACATATTGCCAAGCAATCTCGTCCAAAGTTTTTCAAGGATATTTCCTGTGAAACTATTCGATTCAATTTAGACGAAATTTCTTATATACCATGTAAGCTTTACAAATGTAAACCTACTGTTAAGACTCAATATATATACAAAACAAGATTATAAACCCTTTTTTTGTCCACAGAGTCACTATATTAATTGAGTTGAATGTTCTTATTAAATGTTTACTATCTTTGTGGGCTATAAAACCAACAATGATAGACTGTAATAATAATGATAATCATAATAATAATGATTATTACTACTATTACTACTATTATTATAACGATAATAATGACAAAATTAATAACTTTATGATTTTACATAAATTACCTGAAGTATTTTATAACTCACTAATGGTG